CTTCAAAAATGCTAATGGATTTTCTCGGAGGAAAACACATTGGCCACAAATTTCTCTTGTCTCTTTAATGGGAACCCTGGAAGCGACCCCACAGGGAGAGGGTGTGTGAGAAAGAGAGAAACAAGGACTGAAAAGGGGGGGAGAGGGAGGGAAAGGGATGGGGGAGGGAGACAGGGAGACAGGGAGGCAGAGAGAAGGGTAGATAAAGAGGGAGCTAGGAAAGAACAAAGTGGGGAGAGACAAGAGGTGAAAAAAAGCAAGATAAAGGACCTTGCCACTCTTCACCATGCACGTCCTCCAGGGGCCCCTGGCCCCTCAAGGGCAGCAGCTAGAAAAAGACCCCTGTGGGGCAAAGCATTGGACCTTCCTGCCCACCCAGGCTCCCTCTGTGAGGCATACTGAATTTCTCTGCACAGGAATGGGGATGGGGAGTGGCTGTTACCCTATGGGCTCTGCAATCACAAGGGGGCCACCTCTGGGGACTGAGAGTGGGTAGAGTCACTCCTCCCTTTTCTGGGGACGCATCCAGGGAGATAAGTTCCCCCATTTACCACTCAAGGGACAGTCTAGGACCCCAGGACTGCTGAATTGGAGCCCGTGTTTGCATACGCCTGGGGGTATACAGGGTACATTCTGGTCCCATGGGAAGGCAAGCCAGCCCAAGGCAGACCTGTTCCTAGCCTAGGCTGTGGGCCCACCCTGTGCCAGCTGTGAGCCCCACTTCTCCACCACAGATACTGAAGCCTCTGCTGGACCACTTGCCACCCTGCCCTGCCCCCACTTCAGGTCAGAGCTTTATCCATGAGGTGGGTTTAACAGAATGCATTCCTTCAGCAACTGCTCCAATGCTACTGCCCAAGATGTGCAGGTATGCCCTTATTTGGAGACAGGGGGGTCTTTGCAGATGTAAGCAGGCTGAGATAAAGCTGAAATGGGATAGGGCGGGCTCCAAATAGAGAAACTGTGACGACGACGAGGAGGATGATGACATCGAGGGGACATATGAGCTACAACAGAGGAGGCTGGAGTACAGCTCTACCGACGTCTAGTCTTCCTTCCGAGCTGTGGCTTCCAGGATGTAAAGAGATGCAATCTGCTGTCTTAAGTCACCAACATCTGTGCTTACTTGTCAGCTGGTCGTTAAGAGCTGCTCCCTGTCCACTAGCAGTGTCATAGGACACATGTCATTCCTACTATCTTGGGACAGTAAATTGGCCTCAGTGAAAAAGCAAGCCGAGAGGGGTCTGGTCTGCATGGGGCTCTCAGACCACTGCTCCCAATCAAGTTCAGCCACCCATCCTCAAGAAGCCAGTTTGAAACAGCTAACTTCATAACAGAGTGCTAGAATTATATCTTTAATTCCAGCACAAGGAGGCAGAGGCAGGAGGATCTCTCTGGGAGTTTGAAGCCAGCCTACTCTACTTAGCTAGTTCTAGAACAGCCAGGGCTAGAGTGAACCTCAGAGAGGGGGGAGGGAAGGGGAGAGAGTTATTCAATGTGTTTTTTTTGGGTACAGACTGTGACCCCCCACTTTGGTAACACCAGAAGCAGTGTAGTGTTTACCCACTCATCAACTGCCTGTAGGAAGCTGGGCTGGAGACCTCTGCAATGCTACCTCGTGGCCTCGTGGTAGCTGGTGTCAAGCACAGGATATCTTGTCTCCTTCAAGGTCATCATTCATCTCCCCATCCAGCTTTGGGTTCCCTTGGCTGGTGGTGATTCAGGGTCCCAGGCACGTTCAGGGGATAGACAGTTTTAGTTTTCAGGATTTGAGAATTACATCAGTGGTTGTGCCTAAAGGTCAGATGCCATGGTGTGCAGGTTGGGAGATCAGCTTCAATGGCAAAAGTGTTCGTATTGGGTACAGGGAGGGCACAGAGTATTGGGGTACCTTCTCAGATCCCCATAGAAGACACCTAAACCTGACATTTTGCTTCAAATTGAGTAAGAGTGCAATTGGGGGGATCCCGTTACAGGCTTTCTCATTTCAAAATCTACCAGCCCTCAGGCTCCCTGTAATCTGAGCACACCCCAAGAACAGCTCATTAGATCTTCACCCCAAAACAAGCCTGACCTTGCTGGGCTGGCTGTGCCTGCTAATCTCAGCAGCCAGGGCCCACTCACACCTCTGCTTGCCATGCGTGCCCAAACAGCCCGTTCAGACCCAGCCTCTGCTCCACCCAGGACAGCGAGCCGCAGCTGCTAATTGTGGCTCTGCCAGCCCTGCAGTCTGGTAGCTTCCAGCAGGCTGGTGGGACCAGGTGATAACTTCAAGGCTCAGCAAAGAGACTACTCAGTGTTGCTGCCTAGGAAGCTTGAAGTAGAACCCGGAGGGACTCAGGCTCAGTTCATAGAAACTGAGTGTGGCCATGTGCACCGGTAACCCTGGCACCAATGGGCAGAGATCTGTAGCTCCTGGGGCTTTGCTGGCTTGCAGTCTGGCTGAAATGGCAATCCCAGGTTCAGAGAGAAACTCTGTTCTCAAAAACAGGTGGTTGGGAGATGGCTCCATGCATAAAGCCCTTGCTGTGTGAGTATGAGGACCTGGATCAATGTAAAGGTGGGCGTGGCATCATGCATCTGTAATCCCAGCACTCTCAGCAAGATAGGAGACAGAGATAGGAAAGATAGCCTGAGCTACGCAGTACAGCGGCAAACAACAAAGAGACTGCCTCAAACAAGGTGGAAGAGGACACCCAAGGCTGTCCTCTGAGCTACACATGCATGCACAAATGCACAAATACACCAACACACCCTCCACACACACTACACAAAACTTGAACTGTCTTATGTACTTGTGCCTTTCTTTTTGCACCAGGGACTGACTCCAGGCTCCCAGATATACCAGGCAAGTTCTCTACAGCTGAGCTCCACCCCAGTCCCATATTTCATTTTTCACTTCTTAATTTTTTTCTAACTCTTATGTGTGTGAGTATTTGTCTGCATGTATGTATGTCTGTGCACCAAATGCGAGCAGGAGCCTGTGGAGGCCAAAAGAGGGTGTCAGATCCCCTAGAACTGGAGTTACAGATGCTTGTGAGCCACCTTGTGGGTACTGGGAACTGAACCTGGGTCCTCTGCAAGAAGAGTCAGTGTTCTTAACCACAGAGACATCTTTTCAGGACCTCACATTTTGTTTTTTTTTTAAGGGGCCAAACCAATGGCTGCAAAGCCTTCTTCAGCTCTAGATCCAAACTGTGAAATCTGGGGTTATTTAAGGGCAAAATGTAGTTTATTTTGTTTTGTTTTGTTTTTAACAGGAGTCACCAAAACCCTGATGTTGCATTTTCATTGCAAAGAAGAAAGAAGCCTTCACTTACTATAAAACCTTTCTCCCCCAAATCCCTCTCTCCCAACTTCCCCTCTCTCTCCCCTTCCCCACTTTCCTGTTTTGGTTTTATAACCCAGGCTGCCCTCAGCTTCACCATTCTCTTCCATCTCAGCCTGTCTCAGGTGTTGAGGCTCAGATGTGCACCCCATGCCCAGATTTGACACAATAGGAATCCAAAGATGTGTTGTGTCCAATGCTTCGTGAAGGCTGCTGTTATCTCCAGTTTCCAGATGGGGAAACTGAGGCCTTTAGTTCAGAGGCTGAGGTCTGACAGGTCAGTCTGAGTCACCCCATGTCAGAGGGCCCACACCTGGGAGTTCCAGGACAGAACCTCATGGATAGAAAGAGGAACACATGCAAGACACAGCTATGGAGGTCAACACAAGCACCGGATGCCTCAGCTGGGGGGAGACCCACAGCCTTTGAAAGACCTTCTCCTTCCTTCAAAAATAAAAAAGACCAGCACAACAGACTCTGAACAGCAGCAGTATGTTCCAAAAGCCCCAGGGTGGCCTGAGTTGACAGGGGAAAACCAGGCACAACTCTGCTCACAGTGACAGAAATCACAGAGGATCAGCAATCCCAAATTCTAGCTGCCAACCTTGGAGACAAGGAACCTCCGAGTCCTTGCTGACCTCAAACCTTTGCTGCCGGATCCCTCAACTTCCCCAAGCACCCTAGGAACTGCCACAGGAAACATGTGGAAAGGTTTGCAAATACTTGCTGGGGGTTCCAACCCCAAGAAGATGGACAATACTCCTAGACGGGGTCACCCTGGACAATATCCTCAGCAGGTGTGTGCAGGTGTGTGTGTGTGTGTGCAGGTCAGAGGATAATTTCGGCTGCAATTCAGGCCTCTCAGGTCTGGGATTACAAGTGTGTGTCACCATGCTTGTAAGGCAAGCTCCTTAACAACTGAGCTGTCTCACTAGCCTTACCATCTTATTTTTAAACAGTCTCTTGCTATGTGGCCCAGGCTGGCCTTGAACTCTCAGTCTTCCCGCTAGTCTCCTAAACACTGGGATTATGCTTGCAGAGCAGGGGCCTTTCCCCACATATTCATGCCGAGAGGGTAAGATATCAACCAGGAAGCACATAGCAATTGGCTGAGTGGTTGAGCTCTGCAAAGACTTGAGCCACTCTCCTCAGCTGCCACAGCAGGCAGTCAGTCGTAAGAGACAGTGGATCCTTTGTTCTGTCCAGAAACTTCTCTTAGCAAAACTTCTAGACTTCCTGAACACAGTGTTACAGAGATGTGGGTTTTAGAGCAGGGACCCCAGAAACCCACAGACCAATCTCTTTTCCATAGGTTGAGGAACAGGCTTGGAGAAGGGACGAGGACACCTACAAGAAGCCCCCAGAACAGCTCCACACTTCCACACTTCATCCCTCTGACCAACAAATCTTCCCATGCCGGGTAGGGCTGAGCAGAGGCAGGAAATGCTCTGACCTCAAGATCACAGTCACTGGCCAGCTCTGCCCCAGGCAGATGCGGTTACTGGAGGAGGAGGCTGGCTTGGGACTTCCCAGAGCTGTTTAGAAGTGATTTCTAGCCCACTATGGCCATAAGAGCAGAACTAAAGGCAACCTTCCCTCACTGTCTTCTGCAAACAGACCTGTTCAACCTATGTCCACCTGGTGTCCCCCGCCAACATGAGGCCACACTTACATCCTCGTCGTGCTCCAGCTCCAGGCCTGCCTCCAACAGGTTGCCCTCGTACTCCTCCCGTCTGAAGCGCTTGTCATCTTCGTGGTAATCCATGGGAGCTTCGGGTGAGCCCATGTCCATGGGACTCCCCTTCCCAGGAAGGGGTTGGTCCTGCCTGACACTACGAGTCCCCAGGACCATGTCATTCTGCAGTCCCCTCCTGGCCAGAGTTCTGCTGCCCGAGGCTCTCTTGTGATGGTATACCAAGATGTAGTCCACTTTGCGTTTCCCATCCCGGAAATACAGGCCATACTTGCATTCAGCATCAGGGTCCACGGACAGGGAGTTGAGCAGCTGTGAGGCAAGAGAGATGTGTTCAGTGTGGAGTGGTTCTCGAAGCTAACATGATTTTAGCTGGGTACTTAAGCTCGACAAAACATGCTGGACTTCATTGCATCACTTGCTGCAGCCAGAGTCTAACAAATTCCTGACATAAAATGTTTATAAACACCTGCTCCTACCGAGCGCCTGCATACACTTCCTCCTCACTAAAGTCACTGTGCACAGGTTCTATGGAAATACTCCAGCATATTACCTAATTTTCCTTTGTATGTATGTGCATACGTTTCTGAACTTGCACACGTATGCAGAAGTTGTAAGTTGACAACAAGTGTCTTCTTGGCTTCATTTCTTTTTCTAAGATTTGTCTTTATGTGTATGAGTGTTCGCCTGCAGGTATATATGTGTACCATGAGTGTGCAGTATCCATGAAGGACAGAAGATGGCACCAAATCCCTTGAAACTGGGGTTACAGATGGTGCGACCCTCCACATGAATGCTGGAACAGAACCCAAGTCCTCTGCAAGAGCAAAACAAGGGCTCTTAACCACTGAGCCATCTCTCCAACCCATATTCCTTGTTTTTTGAGACTTTTCTCTTGCTGAGCCCAGCCCAGACTATTAGATTAGTCTGGTTGGCCAGTGAGCCCAGCATTCCTCTGATCTGTCCCCCACCCACCAGTGCTGGGATTAGAAGCATGCAGCATGCCCAGCTTTTTACTGTAGGTGCTGAGAATCTGAGCCACCTTCAGCACTACCCTACCATATTCTATGGGACTTGAGCACCTGTGGGTTTCAGTGTCTGAGGGATCTTGAACAATTACTGTGTTAAACCAAGGCACAGCCACCCCTATAGATGCCCACTGTGAATCAGATCCAGTCCTATGGGCTGAAATATGTAGAAGATGCAGTGGCTTTTTGGGGGCCTGAGCATGCCAAGTCATGCCTGGTCACCAACAGGGCATCCTGGTCTCTGGATAGGAAGGTGCTCTCTGACTCCTGGCAAAAACAAAACAAAACAAAACAAAAAAACCAAACTGCTGAAAAAGCCACAAAGTGAAGGTCCCAGGAAGGATGTGTGTAGGGCAGGGCCCGAGGCAGGGCAGAACTGAATTTAGTTCTCTGCAGGCACTATGTCAACCTCGGGCAGCTAGTACCCACACAACACGATGATGGCTTCAGGGCCACCAGCTAGCTGTATGATCAGAGATCAAATGTGTGGGACCCTGGTTCACTCACTGGGAGAGTGAACCAGTAACCCAATCCCAGTGTTGGGCTCTGGCATGGAGGAATGAGGACTGAGAACCAGGCTGGGACACAGTCTGAGGCACAGACTAGAACTGCCAGCTGCCCCCAGGCTGGCTTCACTCCAGCCTGAACACCTGATTCCAGCAGTTTCTTTCTCAAATGTTAGCAGACACTACCCTTCCCCCTGTACCAGCTCTTGGTACATGCAGAGTGGTGGGGAGAACATCGCCAGCTAGGTCCTCCCTGGCGGCATGTGAGGCCCAACACAACGGCCAACAACTACAGCTACTTACACATCCCTTTCTGCACCACATCCAGGATGCCTCCTCCTGGAACCCTTCCCATACTGAAGGATCCTAAGCTGGGTGGAGATTCCCTCCAGGCTGGGTGCAGTCCTGGCCTCAGTTTCCTCTGCATAGAACTGGAAGACCTAAGTCTTCCCTGGGATTCACCGGCTGGGTTCTGCTCCCTTCTCTGGACACCTGTTACTATAGCCCCAGTCATGGGATTCTCCACTCCCTCCATGTTCCCTTCTGTCCCTCTGTAGTGCCGTTCCATCCCATCCTGCCCATGCTAGAGGTTCAAGCTCTAATAACCAGAGACCTGGCCTTGATATGACCTTGACTCTGATACACCAGCAGTTGGGAAGCCACTGCCCAGTGGCCACCCAGTGGCCACCCAGAACCTCAGGATGTCCCCAGCTACTAGGTACTTTGAAGAGCCATGTTATTTCCTCAGAAGTGGCAGGACAACACCCTCCTCTGAGGCACAGTAAGCTGTGAAGTGGGAAAAAGGACAGGAGCAGAGTACAGCTGTATTTAGTCCGTAGCAACTGAGGGAGGGGAGAGGGGCTCTTGAGCAGGGTCCAGCTACCGGGGTCAGGGTAGTCATGACCTTGCATCTTAGCAACCTTACCCAAAAACCACATCTTCTGGAGAGAGCAGGGCCAATGTCCAGCACAGGCCACTCAGCATCCATAGCTGAAGGAGGCTAGAAGGGTTCCCCCTGGTGACTGAGGTCTCATCCATCCTGGTGACCTCCATGAGGCCCTGGGCAGTGTGGATATTCCACCCAAAGTGCTCCTAAGGGGTTTCTTTCCTGTTCTCTATGAGTGACCAGTCAACCCTTTTTATCTGGTGGCCTAGGGGTGAGAAGCTCAGGCTGGTTGGTTTTTGGTGTTGGTTTTTTGTTTTATTTTGTTTGGGTTTGGTTCTTTTGAGGCAAGAGCTCCTATAGCCCAGGCTGGCCTGGAACTTGTTATGTAGCCAAGAATGACCTTAAGCTTCACCCTGGTTTATTCAGAGATGGGGCTAGAACTGAGGGCTACATGTATGCTAGGCAAGTACTCTACCCACTGAGCCGCATGCCCAGAGCAGGGCTGGCATTTGAGGACAACAGGAGTGACACTCTGGCCTAGTAAACAGCTACATTTATGGGCATCTGAATATCTGTCCTCAGCCACTAAGGAATGCACATGTCTCTGGGAGGGACTGGGGCCCCAGGTCAGAGGTATGCATGGTGATGGGCCTAGCCTTGGATCCTGTCTACACACCCAAGGTACTTCTGCCCTTCATAGAAATGGTGACCCTCTTTCTAAGAATGGGGCACCCTGTCTTCAAATGTTCCACACATGGAGGGAGTACTGTTGCTAGGTCCTCTTGACCTGGCAGAAATTGAGATTGACACATGGGAAAGGGGGTAGGCCCCAGGTGACCGGCTCAATGCCCTGGGTACCAAATCTCCACCCACTACCCTAGGACCCCAGCTTTGATTCATTACAGAGGGACACAGCCAAAAGTGTGCTTCCAACCCACCATGAAGCTCCTGAGCCACCAAGCAGTCTAGGAAACAGAGGCTGGCGGGGAGGTCTGGAAACAGCAGTAGCTTCTTACAGGCCCTGAAGTTGGCCAGGCCAGATCCCAGCCTGAGAACCTGGGTGGCTGGGAGTCTGGAAGGGCAGTAGGGCGACCTCTTGCCAGGAGGATTAGCCAGGTTGATGAGGGTTCTGCAGCTGAGCAGAAGCAGGCCCAGAATACCCTGGGCCAGGCGCCGAGGGGCACGCCTGACACCCTGGCTTCATCCCGGGGACCAAGGGCAGGCCCTTCTCAGAATCCCAGGAAGGGCAGAGAAGTGCAAAGTCACAGGGTGCTGGCTGCTAAAGGAGCCTTGAAGGGGAAGATGAACCAGACCCTAACAGAGAGTCCTGAAGACAAGGAGCCCCTGGGCCATGCTGGGCAGGGTGGCCATGCTGAACCAAGACAGACATATACTAGGGGGGGGGGTTGAGGGCACAGCTTCCTTTGCTGGTGTCCTGATCACCTCAGAGGCTCAGAGGTCTCAACCTCATTTCCAAACACAGTCCTGGTATCAGTTCCTGCCCCTGGGACCTCACCTTTCTTCTGTTGTGCCCCTCCC